ACGCCGTAGAAGGCGAGCTCGCCGCGCGGGAAGCTGACGTAGACGCCCAGCCTGCGGAAGGCGCGGGCGGCCAGCGGCGTCTCGGCGTCGCTGTGCCAGGCGGCGAACGCGCGCCCGCTGCAGTGCAGGCTCCAGGAGAAGTCGTTCCCCGAGATGCAGCTGTTGCGCCCCTCCCCCTGCCGGTCGATGCCCTTGCAGGTCAGGCCGACGTAGGTGCCCGCGCCGGAGGTCTCGACCTCGAAGTAGTACCTGTGCAGGTAGAGGCTCTGCTGCGACAGCACCTGCCGCCAGTGCAGGAACCTGCTGGGGAGGTCCGGGTACGGGTGCTCCCAGGGCGTCGTGTTGGTCACCTTGCGGTTGTCGTCCTGCAGCCGCAGGTACCTGTGCGCCGTGTCGGGGTCAAAGGAGATGTCGCACGCGTCTGAGGAGAGAACAGAAGCCGGGGGAGCGGTCAGACCTGACCAGCGGCCGGAGCCCGAGGACACGCCCACCTCTGCCCCGCTGCCCGGGCGCCGTGCCCCCGGGAGGACGGGCAAAACCAGAAAACAGGACGCGACCGGGTAGTGTGGCTCTAATAACACGCGCTGGGCCCCTGTCCCTGCCCCTGTCCCTGCCCCTTCCTGCGCAGGGCTCCTGAAACCCTGGGCATTTCCCCGCTGACGGGACTGTCTTCAGTTCTGATGAGGTGACTCCGGGTGGGCCCCGGGATGGCTCCTGGGTGGGGACTTGTCACCGCAGACACCAGGCCCTGATTAGAAGCTTGGAATTTTCAGCCCGGCCCCACTTCTCCGGAGAAGGGAGAGGGGCAGGAAATGGAGTGAGTAATTGATAGCGCCATGAAGAATCCCATCAGCAGGGGCTTCTAAGAGCTGCAGGCGGGTAAACACCCACCCTGGGACGTGATGCACCCCAGCTCCACGGGGACCCTCCCAGGCCTCACCTATATCCTTTATCATGTCCTTTAATATACTAGTAAACGTAGGCGAGTGTTTCCCTAGCTCTGTGAGCTGCTCTGACAAAGGACGGGGTCATGGGAACCTCCGATTTGCAGCCGAGTCCTACAGAAGTTGTGGGTAACCCGCTCCTTGTGAACAGCATCTGAAGGGGGGGTTGTCTGGTGGGACTAAGCCCTTAACCTGTGGGATATGACCATCTCCAGGTAGGTAGTGTCCGAATGGAGTTAAATTCTGGACACTCAGCTGGTGTTGTGGAGAATCGCTTGCTGGGGAAACCCCCCCCACCACCACACCCGTGTTGGAAGTGGTCCCAGACCCTGTTGAACAAGTCACTACACTTCCTTCCTGAAGCTCAAATTGTTTGGCATTTCCTGTATTATTTGCTGAACTGAATTAAGAAATGAAATCCATTGGTTCACTTACTCATTCATTCAACAAATGTGCTGAAGACCAGGCACTGTTCTACTCAGTGTTGGCAAGGGTTTGGGGGAACAGGCACTTATATACCCACATTTCATCCATTATTTGGTTTTTTTAAAAAAAATATTTGACCAATATTTAGCCTGGTGAGCTCTCAAACAATCCCCACACATCTCCTCTTCCCAGTCCCAGAAAATGACAGTGCCTGCATGCACGCAGTTGCTTGAATCTCACTGTTATTTTCAACATTTCTTTTGCTGTCATGCTTCTCCCCCCTCCCCCCCCCC